ATTCATCCAGTTTATTCTTATGGTCTTACAGTTCTAAAGCTACCTGTGGCTAGAAACTAACCCTGGTAATAAATTACAGTTTTGTGAATGGATGAATACCACTAGTTTTTTTTTGTTTTTTTTAATTAAAGCAAAGAAAATATATGAACTGTATAAAACTGTTGATATTAAGCTGCTAGGAAACGTCTATAACAAGGCAAATGCTGATTGGATTTGAAAAGCGTGTTAGTAGGCTTAACAAGTAGTGAATCAAAATATTTCAGAACAGAGAAACTTAATTATAGTAGGATAACGACAAAAGAAATAAGGAGACTTTGTTATAGAAGTTTCTTCTAAAGCAAAAAGGATCTGGTGTCATAAATAAAGCTACCTGTTTGTACAAAAATTTAAAATTTGAAAACAATGAATTCAGTTTTGATCGACCAATCACAGAAATACCGTTTTTTTTGGAAAAAGGAAAAATAGTTTCCTGAATAATGCATAAAACCTAAGAGGTATGAAAAAGCTTGGAGAGATTAAACTGTATTCAAGGTTGCTAAAGGTTTGGGTAGGCTACATATTTGGGAAGCATTTCTGGACTTATTCAGTTGTCAATGGAAAGTTTAATATTTAACATAAACTATGAGAGTTTTTGGAAACTAGCTCTGACATGAGTTTGTAAACTTTATAATATTAACCACTGGAATAGTTTCCACCTAATGCAGCTTGGAAAGTTAGTTACATTTGTATCTGATTTCTCTCAGAGAATAAGCTGCGACTGATTAACTTAATGGCTTATTTCCACCTCACTCTTTTCTTCCATCTTCATAAATAGCTATTTTTAAGAATACTAAGAATAATTCAAAATATATTTTATTTTTCTTCAAAAGACTAAATTGTTCTATCAAGATCGTAAATACAAGTTTTACCCAATCACCAGTTTACATTTATTTCATACAGTAACAGTCTACAAAATGCACTTAACAAGGTTACCTTACAAGCGACTTTTAAAATGCCAGTCTTAATTTCCAATAAAGGTATTTAAAATACATATACAATCTGCTTTATTCAGAATAGTATCAATCTAATGGATCGTTAGAGTTTAAGCGATAGGACCTGCCTTTAACCTGCTCATTTCAAGACAGTCAAATCCTCTTAATTGTAAATTATTATCAATAAGAAAAACTATTAATTCTATCTTTTTCACAATTACTTGAACTAACAGACCACAAAAATACATTTACTGATATGCAACTATGGTTATTTCCCAATGTGTGTACTTGGACTGAAACACCACAACTTCACTATAAATCACTGTTACAATATCTATACATGAAACAAGTAAGTTACATGATTTTATGACAGGCTTTTTGCTTTGAAGTTACTCCAGTAAAACTGATTTGTTCTTATATTTTGTATTAACTTCTAAACATTACTAATTTAAAATGGCAAATATTAAATGTTTTCAAACAAAGCTAAGCAATAATGGATACATCTATCGATATAAGTTTTATTTTCTTCAAGTTGTTTAGGCTCATTTTAATTTCCTCAGATGCTCTTGTATAAATTTCAACCCACTATTTGTCGGCCGTTTTATTCTCTTGAGCTTCATCATAGTATAGATGTTTGAAGAGTGTATATCCAACCCCGAAAGTAAGTGCTGCAACCACAGTGCCCTGGGCAGCAACACGGAGCTGCATTAGATATACAGACGTTGACATAGAACCACGATTTTTATAACGATAGGCTCCATAAAGACAGGCAAGACCACACCCTAACAGGCCTAAAAGTGAAAGAAGAACTACCTTATAAAGTGTTATTACAAAAACAATGTCAATACATTAAAAACAAAGTCCACTGTAATACAATTTTAACAAGTTATTGGTCAAATTGGAAAAGCTTAGAAATCAAATTCCTTTAATAAGATCTTGTGATTGAAACTTATCTTGCAACTAGAAGCCTTGTATAAAGTAGTTTCTAAAACTCAAATACTTCCCCATTCAAAATCAAGTTCAGTAATAGTTGACAGAGAATTTAACCCCAAAACTACAACTTAATACCATTGGTGAAGTGTATGTAATACCCATGGGGGTTTTGAGTGTACTTTACTTCACCATATAGTAAACTTTATTTACGTACCTTAATTTAGGTACGTCAAAAAGAAATCTTTAACAAGTGTAGTTGTGTTATTTATACATAGACACACACAAACTAGCCGGCATGAAGTACAACATTGTAGACCAATTCCTTCCGAAATGCCTACTTTTAGATCTTCTTAAGAATTGGGTACTCAATTACATTGTATTGCAATGAAAGACTAACCAGCATTACTTAAGTTAAGTATGAAGATCAGCTCTTTTAATGAATATTACAAATCCAATATATCAATGTACAAAGATATATAGTTAACAATTATTATTTTTTTTTTTTTTTATATATATA